TATCTATCTATCTATCTATCTATCTATCTATCTATCTATCTATCTATCTATCTATCTTCTATATATCTAACATTTAGGGTAAGAAAGGTATGAATTAGGTCACATTAAGACCATGGTGGAAATATTTGGGCTTCAGGTTGATTTTTGACTCTTTGCCCATTGTGACTGCATTCCAAAACTGGATCCTCTTGCCTCACATACCTACTATTTCAATGGAAGGAAAGTTTCCACATTCAAATGATGAAATGCAAGATGTCCTGTAGGCTGGTCAATGTAATAACTCTATCATTTTGCGGATGAAGAAGGATGGTTGAGTTTTAGAGAAAGTAACCCAGCATATATTGGAACATGGTTAAGGTACTTGTATATTGTTCTTTTGATTGAGTAATATTATATGTGAAGTTGGCCACATGATGTCCTCCATGGGGTTTGGACTTCAGCTTCAATCAACCCCAACCAGCATTATTAATGAGGAGAATTTGAGGAAACTGTAGCCTAAACCATCTAGAGAACTTTGGGTTGTTTTTATAAAGCAGGGGAAATTAAAATTCTCATAGGAAGCAATGAAAGCATCTGTTAAGGTTACTTCTTTTCATCCAAGATCTGCACAGAGAGGTATTCAGCAGGTTCTGGAGAACTGGTAGCAGAAATTTTGAGTTTGGAGAACTGGCAAATACTAGCTCTGACTGGCCCCACCCCCATCTATTCTCTGCCTCCTGAGTCCCAGCTGATTGGCTGGGTCTTCTTTTGTTGCCCTGCACAGGAGAATGGAGCTGGAAAGCAGGTTAGTGGGGTGGGAAGGGAATGGGATTTTGCAGTAACTTTCCCCCAGTAGTAGGGAGGGAATGGAGATTTTACAATATCCTTTCCCTGCCATGCCCACCAAGCCATGCCACACCCACCAAGCCATGCCACACCCACCAAGCCATGCCACACCCACCAAGCCATGCCACACCCACCAAGCCATGCCACACCCACCAAGCCATGCCCATAGAACCTGTAGTAAAAAAAAATGTTGAATCCCACCAATGAACAGATCATGATCCCATGATAGTATTAGAATAAAATCTGACTAATTTCAGGGGAAGTAGTTAAAGTTATTGCAATCAAAGTGCTGATTGCTGAACTTTGAAACGACTGGCCTTTAATCAAGTGGCTGCATGAATTAATTGCTATGAAAAGTATCAAGGAGTTTCTTGGGGCCTTGCTGGGTATATATTCTTCCCTTGAAAGGTATAGTTTGTTTATCTGCTAACTTATATAGATGAATTATCGGTAGCGCTGATAATCACTTCGACTTAATTTAATAGCTCTCTTTTCTTTTAAAAAAGAAACCATCAAAGGAACATCTGCACTTTACATATTCAAACCAGGAAGATTGCTGAAATAATCCTTTAAATCTGTTTGAAATCCCATGTAATTTCTTTTTAGGTTTTTCACTTATTCTCAATCACATGCTTTGCTAGCCTAAAGAATGTGCCCCTAACCAATTATTCTTTTGCATGTGTACATTGGGTTTCATCATGATTTCTGTACAGTGGTTTAATTAGAATGCAAAGCCAACAAGAAAAGGTGTAGGGACCATTCAGGCAAAGCAATTACTTTTGGATCCAACAGACGAGCAATTTCATAGAAGATGATCTGACCTCTCTAAGTCATTTTGCTTGTGAAGTGCATCCTTAATGCTGCATAATTGAAATGACATCTCATCGCCGCAGGATATTTTCAAGACTGAGAGTCTGTACGTAAGAATCAAAGCTGAAGGCAGGGGATTTGATAGATTTTTGTTTTGTATTGTTTTTTTTTAAGCCAAAACTCTCTATTCTGGGATTTCTAAAATGAGGTGCAAGCATTTTTTTATTTAGCAACTATCGGCATACCATTTTCATGATAGAGTTCCATAGATTGGAATGCAACCCTGGCTGGAACAAGATGATCATTGAGTTGCATTTGCAGCTCAAGTTCACAACATGGTTTTGGTTGTCATGGAGGTGAAGGAATCATATTGTCATGCCCCTGTCGGAATCTGATTCGGAGGAGGAAGCTGAACAACTGACATGGAGTGGGAGCGTGGCTCCATTGGTTGTGGAAGAAACTGGGGAAGGGCAAAGTCCAGCTGGGCAGAGCAGGGAAGAGGTAGAACAAGGGAGAGGGAATTCAGAGGAAGACCCAGGCCCACCCCCTCTTCATTCTAGGGCACGCAGGGAGGAACAGAGAAGAGAGCAACGTGGGTTGCATGGCTTACAGGGGAGGAAAGAGCCCTGATTCCCTTCATAAGCTGCAGGTGGGGACACAGTGTATATAAAAAAAGACAAGTTGCATGCAGCAGGCTGTTGAGAGCAAACGTGACTTTATCTTGTATCATTGTGGTTTATCTGTGTTCCTGGCATCTTCCCAACTGTGTGAGTTTTGCCGTGCTTTCAAGTCTGAAATTCCTGCTCCTGCCCTGCCAAACTAATTACTTCAGTTTGATTTGTTTGGATTTTAAGTTACAGTTTGTGTGTATCTTGTTTTGGACTGAATTTTCTACAGTCAAAGGCTGTTCCTGGGAGAGTTTTTCTTCAGCTGAAGGTAACTTGGACATTGGGGGCAAAGTTGGAGATAATAAAGGGACTCTAAGTGCTTATCTGACTGTGTTGCCTTTATGCCATGCCCCGGATCATCAAACATATCTTGTAACTGCTCCTGGCACCCACATTCCCACATCTTGGTGGGAAAAGATCTCATGCATAGGTGCCATTTAGAGCCTTTCTCAAATTGGGAAAAGTCTGGACTGGTTTCTGGAACAATTCATCCATCCCATACTCACTGCCCCAGTGGTGCAGAGGTTAGAAAGCAGTACAGCAGACTAACTCTGCCCACTGCCAGGAGTTCAATCCTGATGAGGCTCAAGGTTGACTCAGTCTTCCATCCTTCCAAGGTCAGTAAAAATGAGGACCCAGATTGTGCTAACATTATAAAACACTCAAAGAGCTCTATAAAGAGATATGGAATGGTACAGGTAGTCCTCATTTTACAACAGTTCGTTTAGTGACTGTTCAAAATTACAACAGCACTGAAAAAAGTAATTTATGACCATTTTTCACAGTTATGACCTTTGCAGCATCCCCATGATCATGTGATCAAAATTCAGATGCTTGGCAACTTGGCTCATATTTACGACCATTGCTGTGTCTCAAGATCATACAATTCCATTTTGCGACCTTTGGACAAGCAAAATCAATGGGGAAGGCAGATTCACTTAACAACCGTGTCACTAATGTAACAACTGCAGTGATATATTTAACAACTGTGGTGAGAGAAGTTGTAAATTGGGGCAAAACTCATTTAAGAACCATCTTGCTTAACAACAACAAAAATCGGGCTCAATTGTGGGTTGTAAGTGGAGGACTACCTGTGCCATGAATTTAAAGATGAATTCTCGGTTTCTAATTTTTTTACGTGGCCGAGCAGGAGAGTGTAAATCAGGGCTGTCAAACTCGCAGCCCACGGCCCGGATGTGTCACATGCTGGCCCCACCCCAGGGGTGAAATTCTATTTTTTTCCCCTTACCGGCTCTATGGGCGTGGCTTGGAAAAAATGGTAATAGCAACCAGGGGTGATTTTTTTTACCGATTCAAATCATCCCTACCACCTCTCCCAAGGTGGGCCGAGGCAGCTGAATTTCACCCCTACCCCACCTGGTTTAGCAAAGGGGGGGGGGAAGTCCTGATACGTCACGTGACGCCGCAGTGACACCAATGAGTTTGACACCCCCGATCTAAAGGATTATCTGATTTGCAATGTTTCTTTGCTTGAGGAGAAATGAGCCCTTCTTTCCTGAGCTCTGTCATTCACCACCTGGCCTGACATTTAAAAGTATTATTTGATTTAAAGGCTGAGTGCACCAGAGGTGGTATTCAGCAGGTTCTGACCACTTCTGGAGAACCGGTAGCGGAAATTTTGAGTAGTTCGGAGAACCAGCAAATACCACCTCTGACTGGCCCCACCCCCATCTATTCTCTGCCTCCTGAGTCCCAGCTGATCGGTTGGGTCTTCTTTTGTTGCCCTGCACAGGAGAACGGAGCTGGAAAGCAGGTCAGTGGGGTGGAGAGGGAATGGGGATTTTGCAGTAACCTTCCCCCAGGAGTGGGGTGGGAATGGAGATTTTACAGTATCCTTCCCTTGCCATGCCCACCAAGCCACGCCCACAGAACCAGTAGTAAAACTTTTTGAATCCCGCCACTGGAGTGCACCATTGGCCAGAATGGGTTCTGGCATGATGTCATCTGCCCTAAAGCAAATCTTGACATTGGGCTGGTATCCTTTCTGATTATAACAGAATAACAAAGTTGGGAAGGATCTTGGAGGTCTTCTAGTCCAACCCCCTGTACCCTTTCAGACAAATGACCGTCGAATCTCTTCTTAGAAATCTCCAGCGACGGAGCGCCCATCGCTTCTGAAAAGCAAGCTGTCCCCCTGATTAATTGTCCTGTCGGGAAATGTCTCCTTATTTCTAGGTTAGCTCTCTCCTTGATTGGTTTCCCATCCGTTGCTTAAAGCCTCTGTTCTTTCTCTCCCCTTTCTGCAGTATGGCATTAAGAAGAAGGAGGAAAGAGAAGCAGAGGCCCAAGCTGCCCTGGAAGCAAATGCAGAAGGCAGCCTGACGCGCCCCAAGAAAGCCATCCCGCCGGGCTGTGGGGACGAGGACGAGGAGGAAGAGGAAAGCATCCTAGATACCGTTATTAAATACCTGCCAGGTCCACTCCAGGATATGTTTAAGAAGTAAACTGCGACAGACTGCCAGCCTGTCCATGGACAGTAAAGCAATGGATTTCTCATTGACCAATGGGGAATTTAGACTTAACCACCACCTCTCACGCCCCTTCCCTTCCCATGCTCTGCTCCAATCCCAGCCATTCCCTTGAGCCCCTCCCTCCCTTTCATTCCTGATTTTGTACACCCTCACTTCTAGACGATGCCTCCAAAGGGATGGAAAAGATTAATGAGCTGCAGTCTACACAACTGTTTATTCCTCTTATTATTATTCTAAAGCCATAGTTTTACATGTGTTTTTAAACAAAAGGACAGGTGTTTCCTTATACAGAGAAAGGGAGGGGGCCATCTTTGGTTTGCCTCTTCCGGAAAGAAGAACGCTTCAGCCAAAGCGAGCTACAAGTAGCTTCTCCCTGCCCAGGAAAAGTCTAACAAGGAATTAGGCTGTCCCCCATCACAGCATAGGAGAAAGAAAGAGAGAGAAGAGAGAGAGAGAGGAGAGAGGAAAGAGGAGAGAGAGAAGAGAGAGAGAGAGAGAGTGCAGAGTGAAGGTAGACGTTTTTTTAGTCTTGACAGTCTCTGAAAAAAAATATCCCTGTTTCAGTGCAAGTAGTCCTCGTTTAGTGACCGTTGACAATTATAAAGGCGGCAAAAAAGTAGCTTTGCGATCAATCCTTGCATTTACGATCTTTGCAAGTTTGTAAAGCAAAAGAAAGCTGAAGGGAGATTGTAAGCACAGTTGCGAGTTCACTTAATGATCGCTTTGCTTAACCACAGAATTGCCCGTCCCAACTGCAGTTGCTAATGAGGACTAGCTGTCATTGGTATGATGCCATCAAAACGTTTGTCTGTGTATGTTCCTTTCCCTTCCTTTTCTTTTCTTATTCTCCTGCCACCTCGTGATTTTGTTTAGCCCTCATCACACACCTTAAGACATAAGAAACATATCCTTTTTTTTGTTGTTTTACTCTGTCACTTCCTCTTACACATATTATATTTTGATTCCTGACTGTCTGGGATCATTCATGTGATTTCTCAGTGATGCATTTTTCCCAGTCTCCATTTAATCCCCCCCTCCTCCTCTTGTCACTGGGGTCCAAAACTATTGATCATTGTCCCAGTTGATTTTTATCTTTTCTAATCACTTTAGGAGGTTAAGCTCAAAAAGCTTGAAGTAGAAGGAGAAGCTGGAACCAGATGGGAAGGGGAGAGAGAAGGCAAAACAATAGAGCATCTGGCAAGGGGGTGGTTGTAACTTCAACAAGAAAAATTGAATATTCTCCAAAATACAACTCCAAGAGAAATATTCATCTCCATCAAATAACCTTTTTAATCACAACATGGGTGACTATTCAGCTCTCTCTTTATCTTCTATATGAGAGAAATTAGTAGCTTATACACTAGTACTAAAGCATACACATTTTGTAGAAGAGAGTAGTCAGAAATACATTTTACTCCAAGTGCACATGGGTTAGAGAGGCCCACCTGTGCTTTTTCAATAAGGATCAAAGCGCTCAAAGTCATTTTGGCCGCTCACTATTAGTGTGAGAATAGTGTGACAAAGACTTAATAGAAATCAATGCATTTTAAATCTAAATGCTGTTTTCACATCCTACAGCTTGTTTACCCCTTCTAGCATAACCCTAGGAGGTGGGGGCATGAAGAGCCAGGTTCAACTCTGAAAGTGAGCAACGTCCCCAGTAAGGGATCCAACCAGTCAGTGTGAGGGAAGTAGCATTGGGCTGACCGCACTTCAAGCCCTGTACCTGGTCCTGGGTTGTGACATCAGACACACATCTAGCGGGAGGCCCCTTTTGTCATTTTGATGAAAACAGGAGTTGTGGCCACCCCATGCTAAAAGGACAGTTACATATTCCCAGGGGAAATGAATTCATCTGGTTTAAGATGTCATAGACAGGTGGTGTGTCTGAGTTTCTGCAGGTTCCAATATATATTTTGATATCAAATACAAAAACACCACAAAGCTAGGGTTAACAGATATCTGAACAGATGGAAGGAGAACGCTAACAAGTCGAAAGGAGGACAAATGGGAGGAAAGGAGGACAGATTAAAATTTATTTTCTTGACATCAACAAAAACCACTGCAAAAAAAAGGACTTTCCCTTATGTGTATATAAAATCATCTTTCCCAGCATCAGAAATACCCTTTCTTCCAATCCAACCAGAAATGGGCTACAGCCCATTAGGAGACAAAAAATATTCAGCAATAACTGATTAAAGTCTTGTCAATTCCAGGCAGCAGCAGTAGCCCAGGAGGCATTTAATTAACCAAGGTCATAAAACTGTGCTTGTTAACTTGTTAGCATTTATTAGAGAAACTGTTCTTGGAAGAACAGGTAGTGATGCTCAAATACTTTGGCCATCTAATGAGAAGGGAGGACTCATTGGAAAGGACCCAGATGTTGAGAAAGATAAGGTAACAGCAGAGAATGAGATGGTTAGATAGGGTCATTGACGCAGTGAATATGAATTTGGGCAAATTCGGGAGACACTGGAGGACAGAGGGCCTGGCATGCTATGGTCCATGAGGTCAAGAAAAGTCAAATAAAGCAACAATAAAGCTGCAGAGAAAGCCTGTTAGATACTCAAAAAGTCTGACAATATTTGATTTTAAGACTATCCCTGTTGGATGGAGGACATTGAACATAGACAAAAAGGAATTCATATTGTTCTTTTGTTGGACAGCTGGTAATTCTGTGCCAGTTAACAGGCAGATAGAGTTATCCTGTTAAATTTCTCTCTCTCTTTTTTTTTTACAACAGTCAATCAGGGTGTTAGCTATTAAAGTGAGTTATGAGAGGCATAGGTCCTTAGAGGTTTTAAAAGCTTCTTCGCTGAAGTTTGAACTAATCCTAAAAAAAATTCACAATTTAAAGCCTGGGATCAATTTGTAGGCCAATATTCCATGTCACTAATCACAGAGAAGCAAACATATTCCAGATAAATACATACTATTATTGTACATGGACAACACATAAACTTCCATCCAAAGAGAAGCAAAGGGACTAAATGACAACAGTGGTTCATACTGATTCAGAGAGTCCAATTTGCATTGGCTTTTGTCAGTTATCTGCTACGTACTTAGTTTGCCCATAATAATAAAAAACCTTGTTTTGTGTCTGATAGCCACTTACTGAAACTAAGCAGACTAAAGCTTGGTTCAAAATCAGGGAATGGCTATAGTTTAGTAGCTCAGCAATATTATATGTATTTTTTATTTTATTTTTTTACAATCCCAAATTCAGTTCCTGACCTTTCAATTAAGAACATCTGTCTAAACTGTTTGGTGCTATCTCATGATCCTCTAGATGTTTGTAGCCCAGATTTGGCAAAACTGCAAAAGATTGCTGTACATTGCTTCTGTTCTCTAGTGTCCTGGCATCAAGTCAAACTGTCAGCAATCCTTCCCACAATCAGAACTGGAACTACCAATATCAGCCCTTTGAAGCTGACCTGATCAAACGAGGCTAGAGTTTGAGTACAACATTATCAACTGAAATAGACTCTTGCAATGTTTCTCAAGGTCCACAGCTTTAAGATGTGTGGACTTCAAATCCTAGTATTCACCAGCAGCATGATGGCTGGAGAATTCTGGGAATTGAAGTCCATACGTCTTAAAGAGGCTGAGCCCAAGAACCACTTAGTTATCATAACAGTGTTTTACAATCCTGACTATGGTTTTTCCTTTCCTCCCTCTTATATTCCAGGAATAGGGGAGGACTCAGCCTAATCCTTTCCCTGTTTTTGCAGTGGTTGTTGTAATCATCTCTAAGTAGTTTCCTCAAGGTTTTCTTGCTGTGTCCCTATACCTAGCCTACACCCAGTGGAAAAAGACAGTTAAGTTCACTTTAGAACGGGAATCAGAGCAGGGCCCATGATCTGCAGCATCATGTGATTGTGTCACTTTTTATACGACAATATAGCCTATATAGGGAAGGCAGATGTGGGAAATGATTATAATGTAGAAGAAAGGAATTGTACATTTTAAAAAAAACTCTTTTCATATATGTTTCTTTTTAACCAAAAAGAAAACAAAAGTCAACATGTCTGGGAATTTCTTGGTGTCCCAAAGTGAAATATTTTGTCTGGGAGAGCATTCAAATAATTTCCTGCCCCCTGTTAGCCAAAGTAACATTATGAGGACCCAGATTGTTGGGGGCAATATGCTGTCCCTATAAACCACTTAGAGAGGGCTGTAAAACACTGTGAAGCACTATATAAGTCTAAGTGCTATTGCTACATTGCATAATGGGCTACGTATGGCAATAAACTTAGTGAACAATACAGCTTATTAATGGGTTTTAAAGAAAGCACGGATGCTCAAAACATCTTTTTAGTCTTCCTGATCTCTGTAATAAAGCTTAAACTGGGGAATAGTCCCAACATGTTTTGTCAGGAAATAATATGCTTAAGTGGTGAGCGGTGAAGCCATATTGAAACTGTTTTGTTTTAAATTATAAAAATGTTCATTATTGAGATTACAAGGGCGAACACAGCATTCCCACATGGGGAAGGGAAAGAGATCATTGTGCTGTTGTTTTTTTAATGTGCCATCTTGGCAACCCCTATTGTGAAAAGCAAAGTCAGTTTCCAAGACAGGAATCCTTTGAGCAGAATTCCCTTGACCCCAGTTTTTCCAAATCCTTCATATGTGTTGACATTACAGCTCATGGAATTCTGAACTAAGAATTAGTTGTTGTAGTCCCACTTAGTTGTAGTTCTATCACTACATTGGGATTGTACCAAGTTAGGCAAAGAAAAATGGGAGTTTTAAAACTTGTTTGTGTTCTGTTCAAAGTCTGACTTTGTGCACATGGTTCATTTTTGATTTCTTGTTAATTATTTGATTTCCATTTCTAACAAAAACAGTATTTTCCTCATGTGCCAGTGACTCGGTTGGGGAAATACATTTTCCATTTAGATATTTCCTCAGTCACTCACTAAAGAGGTTTTCTAACTTTTTCGAGCTGTGTTGCTTAAACAAAAAACTGT